AGATTAAAGTCAGAATTCTGAGAAAAAAGTCAGAATTCTGACTTTTTTCCCATACTAAACTGAAATAAAATTTAAAAATCTGTTAACTTTTTTTTTTTTTTTCCACTGGCCCTAATCCTCTCCCGTAGATAACGACCAACCAGCTTCACCAATCAGAAATCTGAGTCTACTTTTGATGCTAGTGCTAAAAGATTTCCTGATTTGTCAAACTAATGCTAATGTATAACTTCACATGATGCTCCACATTCCTCATTTTATTAAAGAAAGTGCTTCTTGGAAGAGTTTTCATAAAACACAACTTGTTTCTCATAATTTTAGGACTTTATTCTCTTAATATTACGATTTTATTCTCGTTATTGTATGACTATTCTCACTGTGACATTTTTCTTGTAATATTACAACTTTATTCTCAAAATTTTATGACTTTATTCTCGAAAGAGAAGAAAATAATCTCCAGTTTTGCCCTAATACTCCGTCATACTTCAGTGGCTGGAAGTTGGCTGCTATTCGGCTATTTTGAATTAACGCCTACTGTAGGTTGACTGAATATTTAGGAACTATTTGACTCCAAGCTTTGTGCTGATGAATATGATCCTGATGGAGACATTTTGGGCAGGAAAAAAAAGCTAAAGAATGTCCAAAATCTGATTTGTTAATGTTTCCTTTGGTCATCTTACGTGTTATTTAGGATCTGTAGACGCTCCCCCTTCTTGAAAGACAGATCCGTCTCTGTTCGAGACTCGTAGTCGTATAAGGCCACAAATGCCGTCACACCTTGTGTGGAAAGAGAGAAACGAGCTTTAATGAGCTGCTAAATGATAATTATATAAACAGAAAAGGTTGAGACGTCTCACCCGCCAGAGTTAATCTGTTAGAGGAAGAAACGCTGTTATTGTCCACGCCTCCAAAAAGAGTGAGTTCAGCGTTATTGGTCAGTGACTGATTATTACTGAGTCCTGTGTCCACAGTCGGGCTTCGGTTGGGTGTCGCCGACTGTTGAGCGGAGCCGTGGTGGTGACCGCCAGCCCCTCCACCCGAGCTGTTGTTACTGTCCAGGCTGCGGGTTCGCTGGCCAACATCTTTAGGCTTACTCTTGGACCCCCCCATCGCCAAGACCTGTAGGGCATTAGGCAAAGGTTAGAGAGTCAATG